CCTAGCGCATCTTTGGGAGCAAAAATTAATATAAGACACTGTCTTATTTTCGGGGAAACAGGGTAGCAGTCAATTCAATTCCACATTGTAACAGGCCAGGCAAGGACTTGTCTTCTGGTCATGGGCTGCTGCTATTCATGGTGGTATGAGAAGCCGGTAGTGCCTCAGAATCTACTTGTCTGAAACAGAACTAGTACAACCAAGTACCTCTGCTGTTCCAATTCCCTTGTCTGGCCCAGAGACAACACCAGGCAACCCTACTGCTGAGGGCAGCTGGGGTCCTTCTGCGCTCTCAGGGAGCGGGGGAGCAGGCTAGATTTACCTTATTGACGACTTTCTGCTGCTGGGCATGTTTCTGCCTCAAGCTGGCCACTTCCCTCCACAATGCCTCATTCTCACTGCAAGGAAGGAGAAAGCCATCAGACTGCAAAGTGCTGCCTTTGTGGCAGAACAAGCCGGTCCTGGGGTAAGTGCTGGGACAGCTGCAGCAGGACTGCAGATATCTCCACATACCAGCTCATTTACAAGCTCTTGGGGACACGGGAGAAACTTTTCTTCATTCACTGATTTTGCTCTGCCATTTTTTACTTGCTGCAAAACTACAGCGCTGCTAGACTCACACATATGGGCAAATATAGATATTTTGATTGTAAAGTATCTGCTCTTTTTTGTTGATTTCTGTTCCCCTCCCTGTAGCACGTGCTCATCTCAAAAGAGAAGCAGTGGAAACAGAAGGGTTTACAAACTGGTGATAGAAGCAATCAGAGACTTACACACAAAGGCTATGTCTACATCGGCAACTGAACGACAAAACGTTTGTCTTTCAGAGGTGATAACCCCTGCCCCCCCGCCACGAAAGACAAAAGTTTTGCAGCGACAAGTGCCAGTGTGAACAGCGTGTTGTCGGCAGGACAGACAATGCAAACGCCGCTTGTTGGGGGTAGAAGTATTTTGTCGGCAGGAGAGCCGACAAACAGCGGCTACGCTGCATGAGTGGCACAGCTGTGGTGACAGTCATATCGCTGAAAGCTGTGTAGTGTAGACATAGCCAAAGGGATCATGGAAAGACTGGGGAGGATAGGAATAAGAGGGGACACAAACAGCTCTATGGGATAGGGAAGGTACATCAGGGCTCCTATTTGTACTTTACTGTAATACAGGAACGAAGGGACACTCAGTGAAATTGAAAGGTGGCAAATATAACACTGATAAGAGGAACACATTACTTATATCACACAGCTTGTGCAACTCAGTGTCACAAGCTATCTCAGAAGCAAGGAGCTTCGTAAGATTTACCGAAGGATCAGACATTTTACAGTACACAGGTAATGAGAACAGCCCCAGTTTTATCAGACACTTATTTAAATCTGTACAGGCTTTGGGGCCAGGACAAGGGACTTGAACTTATTACACAGCACAGAACAGCTTCTCTTAGAACGAAAGTCAGGAGAACACGACATTTCCAGCAAACACAGTGTGACCTAAGATGCAGTTCAGAAGTCTAAGGAGCTCGTTTGTGTTTGGGGTGGGGTGATCAGGGTGACTGACCCAGGAACGGCTGCTGCCTGTCACATTAAACATCCCTTGCCAGTGGAGCAGTTGCAGGTCTTTCAGTGTGCTGGAATTGTCAGCCATTTAGTGCAGGAGCCCTCTAGTCCAGGCCCCCAGTGCATCTACACTGCGATCAAAGACCCACAGCACAGCGGCGCCTGCTGCAGAAGGTCTCAGAGCCCGAACACCTACACTGCAGTTTTTAGCCCCAGAGCCCAAGCCCGACTCAGTTGACCTGGGCTCTCAGACGTGGTGCTGGGTTTGTTTATCGCAGTGTCGACTTACCCACAGAGCGTCTGTGAACACCTTCTGGAAAGGGTTTGTAAAGAGCCCACATTTTCCCTGAAAACACAGGGAATAATCTGACCATGGCAGCTAGTCCCAACCCCGCGCAGGAAGCAGCTTCTGGGTTTGCTCAGCTCTGAGCATTGGCATCTTTCCTATTCAAGGAAAGAACCTGCAATCCTGCTTCGAGTGCTGGGCTTCAAATGTTCAGACAGCTTGAACCAAGGGCTTCCTTCCAGGAATGATTCCTGCCCACAATGCCTGAGACACATCTAAGCAATGCAATGACGGCTAAGGTCCTACAGGCCAAAACTCGTGACAAATAATGAAAGATGGGGGAAGAGAGCGAGAAACAGCTAGAGAAAGGCTCACAAACAGTTAAAATGTTTTGAAAGCAGGAGAAAGTCCTTTAATCCTTTCTTTAGCACAGTGTTTTATGAGGCAATTAAATGCTGGTGAAGAGTTTATAAGGGCCAGTTTCAAACGTTTCATTTCAGGGGTTATTAAAAGATCTTAGAAGTGTTTTATTTCTACAATATTTTATAGAACTACATAAACTCGGCCCCTCTCTGCACCTGGCTCTTTTAAAACACTGCTCCCCAGGGAGCACTCCAGGCTTGGGTCACATGCTTTGTATTTAAGACCACTGGGTAAGGAGCTGAGGGGCACATTTCGAATTCAAGGACAGAGCTTGCGTGCTGTGGGGCTATCTGTACAAAGAAGTTGTGACTCAGCCCCATGACAGAGTTATACATAGCGGTGTCCGCTGAACCTTTACAAAGGGAGGAAGTTACCTTGCGCAGTAACGATAGTTCTTCGAAATGTGTCCCCCTATGGGTGCTCCATTGTAGGTGTGTGCGCACCCCCCCCCGCTGCTGATGGGAGAATTTCAATAGCAGTCTGTCCCGCCCGCTCGCTCCCCGCCTGCCATGAGGCTAGCCAGTGTGTGCAGGCATTCCCGCCTCAGTTCCTTCTCTACTGAAGAGTCAAACAGTGGAACACCGAAGAAGAGAGGAGGGGTCGTGGAGCACCCATAGGGACACACATCTCGAAGAACCATCGTTAGGCACAAGGTGAGTAACTTCTTCTTTTTCTTGTCCCTATGGGTGCTCCACTGTAGGTGACTCCCGAGCAGTACCCACCTCTGGTGGCTGGGACTTCAGAGTCAAGTCTGATATAGAGCACAGTACTGTGGCACGGAATTGGGTGTCTGTAGACGAATCCCCCAGAATGGCATAGTGTTCTGCAAAGGTATGCACAGATGCCCAGGCAGCTGCTCTGCAGAGCTCAGTTATAGGGATACCCTTGGAGAAGGTGATCGGTGAGGAGACTGGCCTCATGCATATTGAAGATGAGGGTGTTACCGCATGGAGCTGGCCGCAGAGTTTAATACAGCCAGAGACCCAGTTGGAGAGCCGCTGTGCTGAGATCGCTGCATCTTTCGATCTCCTTGCAATGGAGAGGAAGAGTCTCAGAGATTTTCTAAAGGCCTTTGTTCTATCCAAATAGAAGGCCAAGGCTCTTCTCACGTCGAGCGAATGGAGGATGGCTTTCCTGTTGTCCTCACGAGGTTTGGGATAAACTGTGGGAAGCTGAATAAGTTGATTCATGTGAAATGCATAAGTCACTTTGGGGATGAACTTTGGATGTGCTCTGAGTGTGACCATGTCAACGAAGAACACAGTAAAAGGGGGATGTGCCATCAAGGCTGCTATCTGCCCTATCCTTCTGGCTGAAGTGATGGTGATGTGGAACGTCATCTTTATGGAAAGGTGAGTTAGTGAACAAGTGGCCATGGGTTCAAATGGCGGTCTGGTCAGTCCTGTTAACACGCGATTGAGGTCCCATTGGAGAGTGGGGGCCTGGGTTGTGGGAAGAGGTTTGCTATGCCTTTAAGAAACCTCTTCATAGTTGTGTGGGAAAAGACTGAGTAGCCATCTACCTGCTGGTAGAAGGTTGCGATTGCTGCTAAATGAACCTTCAGTGAGCTACCAGAGAGACCCACTTGTCTATGTTTGGCTTGTGAACCGAATGTAACCACTCTTGAAGGCATCTCATGCATAATCTGGCACGAGGAATAACAGATGTGCCCACAGCCATGTGTCCCAGAAGTTGGATTCAATGCTTGGCTGAAGTTTGGGGGCTGGATTGCACTGTCTCCATCAACGAGGAGAGACTGAGAAATCTGTGATGTGGGAGGAGCCCCTTTGCCTGAGTGGAGTCGAGGTCAGTGCCTATGAATTCTAGTCTCTGCACCGGCAGACCCAGATTCAGAAACAGTGAGTGACCTGTTGAGCCTCTGTGTAGGACCGTGCCATGAGAAGGCAATCGTTTAGGTAAGGATAAATCATTATGCCCTGAGAGCGTAAGTGGGCTGCTACTACCGAGAGGACCTTGGAGCACACCCTGGGGGCCGATGAGAGGCCGAAAGGGAGTACTCTGTACTGGTAGTTGTCCTGGCCCAGCATGAATCCAGACGAGTGCACAGAAGTCACCTCCTACAAGACAGGCCCAACAAAGAAAATAACAGAACACCACTAGCTGTCACCTCCAGCCCCCAACTAAAACCTCTCCAGCGCATCATCAGAGATCTACAACCTACCCTG